GTGGTTTCATTAGGGTTTCATTCACCAGTGAGTTCACTTTCCCGTGATTCATCAGAGCTCACTTTAGTGGTTTCGTTAGGGTTTCATTCACCAGTGAGTTCACTTTCCCCCGATTCAGCGGTGCATGGTTTGGTCATTTCATTGTGGTTTCATTCACCCATGAGTTCACTTTCCCTGGGTTCAGCGGAGCTCAGTTTAGTGGTTTCGTTAGGGTTTCATACACCATTGAGTTCACTTTCCCGTGATTCAGCGGTGCATGGTTTGGTCATTTCATTAGGGTTTCTTTCACCAGTGAGTTCACTTTCCCGTGTTTCAGCGGTGCACTGTTTAGTGGTGTCATTAAGTTTTCATTCACCAGTGAGTTCACTTTCTCGTGTTTCAGCGGTGTACTGTTTAGTGGTTTCGTTAGGGTTTCATTCACCAGTGAGTTCACTTGCCAACGGTTCAATGGTGTACGGTTCAGTGGTTATATTGGAGTTTCTTTCAACAGGAGTTTACTTTCCCGTGATTCAGCGGTGCACGATTTCGTGGATCCATTAGGGTTTCATTGACCTCTGAGTTCAGTTTTCGGTGTTTCCGCGGTGCATGGTTTTGTGGTTTCATTAGGGTTTCATTCACCAGTGACTTCACCTTCCTGTCTTTCAGCTGTGAACTGTCTACTGTTTCCAATAGGGTTTCATTCTCCAGTGAGTTCACTTTCCCGTGTTTCAGTGGTGCACTGTTTAGTGGTTTCATTAGGGTTTCATTCACCAGTGAGTTCACTTTCCCATGATTCAGCGGTGCAGTGTTTGGTCATTTCATTAGGGTTGCATTCAGCAGTGAGTTCACTTTCCGTGGGTTCAGCGGAGCTCAGTTTAGTGGTTTCATTGGGGTCTCATTCGCCAGTGAGTTCACTTTCCCATGGTTCAGTGGTGCACAGTTTGGTCATTTCATTAGGGTTTGATTCACCAGTGAGTTCACTTTCCCTGGGTTCAGCGGAGCTCAGTTTAATGGTTTCGTTAGGGTTTCATTCACCAGTGAGTTCACTTTCCCATGGTTCAGTGGTGCACAGTTTGGTCACTTCATTAGGGTTTGATTCACCAGTGAGTTCACTTTCCCTGGGTTCAGCGGAGCTCAGTTTAGTGGTTTCGTTAGGGTTTCATTCACCAGTGAGTTCACTTTCCCATGGTTCAGTTTTGCACAGTTTGGTCATTTCATTAGGGTTTGATTCACCAGTGAGTTCACTTTCCCGTGATTCAGCGGAGCTCAGTTTATTGTTTTCGTTAGGGTTTCATTCACCAGTGAGTTCACTTTCCCGTGTTTCAGCGGTGCTCCATTTAGTTGTTCCATTAGGGTTTCATTCACTAGTGAGTTCAGTTTCCCGTGTTTCAGCAGTGCACAGCTTAGTGGTTCCATTACGGTTTCATTCACTGTTGAGTTCACTTTCCTGTGATTTAGTGGTGCTCGATTAGGTGGTTCCATTAGGGTCTCATTCACTGGTGAGTTCACTTTCTCGTGTTTCATCGGTGGACGGTTTTGTAGTTCCATTAGGCTTTCATTCACCAGTGAGTTCACTTTCCCTTTGTTCAGTGGTGAATGTTTTACTGGCTCCATTAGGGTTTCTTAAACTAGTGAGTTCACGTTCCTGTGTTTCAGCGGTGCATGCTTTAGTGGTTTAATTAGGGTTTCATTCACCAGCAAGTTCACTTTCCCATTGTTCAGCGGTGCACGGTTTAGTGGTTTCATCAGGGTTTCATTCTCCAGTGAGTTCACTTGCCTGTGTTTCATCAGTGCATGATTTAGTGGTTTCATTAGGATTTCATTCACCAGTGAGCTTACTTTCCCATGTTTCAGCGCTGCACACTTTAGTGGTTTCATGAGGATTTCATTCACCCTTGAGTTCATTTTCCCATGTTTCAATGGTGCATGGTTTAGTGGTTCCTTAGGGTTTCATTCACCAGTGAGTTCACTTTCCCATGGTTCAGCATTGCACGGTTTAGTGGTTACATGAGGGTTTCATTCACCAGTGAGTTCCTTTCCCGTGTTTCAGCGGTGCACGGTTTAGTGGTTCCATTAGGGTTTCTTACACCCGTGAGTTCACTTTCCCGCGTTTCAGAAGTGCACGGTTTAGTGGTTTCATTAGGGTTTCATTCACCGGTGAGTTCAGTTTCCTGTGTTTCAGCGGTGCACGGCTTAGTGGTTCCATTAGGGTTTCTGAAACCAGTGAGTTCACGTTCCTGTGTTCAGCAGTGCACGCTTTAGTGGTTTAATTAAGGTTTCATTCACCAGCATGTTCACTTTCCCATTGTTCAGCAGTGTATGGTTTAGTGGTTTCATGACGCTTTCATTCTCCAGTGAGTTCACTTGCCCGTATTTCAGTGGTGCACGATTAGTGATTTCATTAGGGTTTCATTCACCACTGTGTTCACTTTCCCGTGTCTCAGTGCTGCACTGTTTAGTGGTTCCATAGGCTTTATTCACCAGTGAGTTCATTTTCGTGTGTTTTAGAGGTGCACGGTTTAGTGGTTCCTTTAGGGTTTCATTGCCCATTGAGTTCACTTTGCCCCTGTTCAGCGGTGCACGGTTTGCTGGTTTCGTGAGTGTTTCATTCTCCACTGAATTCACTTGCCTGTGCTTCAACGGTGCACGCTTTAGTGCTTCCATTAGGGTTTCATTTACTGGTGAGTTCACTTTCCCATGTTTCAGCGGTGCACGGTTTAGTAGTTCCATTAGGGTTTCATTCACCAGTGAGTTCACTTACCCATATTTTAGCGGTGCTCAATTTAGTGGTTCCATTCGGGTTTCGTTCACTGGTGATTTCACTTTCCCGTGTTTCAGCGTTGCATAGTTTAGTGGTTTCATTACACTTTCATTCACCGGCAATTTCACTTTCCCATGTTTCAGAGGTGCACGGTTTAGTGGTTTCATTAGGGTTTCATTCACTGGTGAGTTCAGTGTCCCGTGTTTCAGCGGTGCTCGGCTTAGTGGTTCCATTAGAGTTTCATTCTCCAGTCAGTTCACTTGCCCGTGTTTCAATGGTGCATGGTGTATTGACTTCACTAGGGTTTCATTCACCAGTGAGTTCACTTTCCCTTTGTTCAGCGGTGCACGGTTTAGTGGTTCTATTAGGGTTTCTTAAACCAGTGAGTTCACGTTCCTGTGTTTCAGCGGTGCACGCTTTAGTGGATTAATTAGGGTTTCATTCACCAGCAAATTCACTTTCCCATTGTTCAGCAGTGCGTGATTTAGTGGTTTCATGAGGGTTTCATTCTCCAGTGAGTTCACTTTCCCGTATTTCAACGGTGCACGATTTAGTGGTTTCATTAGGGTTTTATTCACCACTGAGTTCACTTTCCAGTGTCTCAGCGCTGCACGGTTTAGTGGTTCCTTCGGCTTTCATTCACCAGTGAGTTCACTTTCCCAGGGTTCAGCGGTGCACAGTTTAATGGTTTCATGAGGGTTTTATTCACCAGTGTGTTCACTTTCCCGTGTTTCAGCAGTGCACGGTTTAGTGGTTCCATAGGGTTTCATTCACCAGTAAGGTCACTTTCCCGTGTTTCAGAGGTGCACGGTTTAATGGATCCATTAGGGTTTCATTCACCGGTGAGTTCGCTTTCCCCTCTTTCAGCGGTGCACAGTTTAGCGGTTCCATTAGGGTTTCCTTCACCAAAGAGTTCAGTTTTCCGTGTTTCAGCTGTCCATGGTTTCGTGGTTTCACCAGGGTTTCATTCACCAATGAGTTCACTTTCCCGTGTTTCAGCTGTGCACGGTATACTGTTTCCATTAGGGTTTCATTCTCCAGTGAGTTCACTTTCCCGTGTTTCAGCTTTGCACGGTTTAGTGGTTCCATTAGGGTTTCTTACACCATTGAGTTCACTTTCATGTGTTTCAGCAGTGCATGGTTTAGTGGTTTCATTAGTGTTTTATTCACCAGTGAGTTCACTTTTCCGTGTTTCAGCGGTGCACGGTTTAGTGTTTCCATTAGGGTTTCATTCACCAGTGAGTTCATTTTGCCGTGTTTCAGCGATGCACGGTTTTGTGGTTTCATGAGGCTTTCATTCACTACTGAATTCACTTCCCCTGTTTCAGAGGTGCAAGGTTTAGTGGTTCCATTAGGTTTTCTTACACCAGAGAGTTCACTTTCCCATGTTTCAGAGGTGCACGGTTTAGTGTTTCCATTACGGTTTCGTTCTCTGGTGAGTTCAGTTTTCCGTGTTTCAGCAGTGCAAGGCTTAGTGCTTCCATTAGGGTTTCATTCACCAGTGAGTTCACTTGCCCATGTTTTAGCCGTGCATGATGTATTGATTTCACTAGGGTTTTATTAACCAGTGAGTTCACTTTCCCATTGTTCAGCGGTGCACGGTTTAGTGGTTCCATTAGGGTTTCTTAAACCAGTGAGTTTACGTTCCTATGTTTCAGGGGTGCACGCTCTAGTGGTTTAATTAGGGTTTCATTCACCAGCAAGTTCACTTTCCCTTTGTTCAGCGGTGCATGGTTTGGTGATTTCATGAGGGTTTCGTTCTCCAGTGAGTCACTTGCCCTCATTTCAATGGTGCACGATTTAGTGGTTTCATGAGGGTTTCATTCCCCAGTGAGTTCACTTTCCCATGATTCAGCGGTGCACGGTTTAGTGGTTCCGTTAGGGTTTGATTTACCTGTGAGTTCACTTTCCCGTGTTTCAGCGGAGCACGGTTTAGTCGTTCCATTAGGTTTTCATTCACCGGTGAGTTCACTTTCCCTTGTTTTAGCAGTGCACGGTTTCATGGTTTCATTAGGATTTCATTCACCGGTGAGTTCATGTTCCTGTGTTTCAGAGGTGCACAGTTTAGTCGTTCCATTAGGGTTTCATTCACCGGTGAGTTTACTTTACCGTGTTTTAGTGGTACACGATTTATTGGTTTCATTAGGGTTTCATTCACCAGTGAGTTTCTCCTCAGTTTCCCTTTTAACAGATTCCTCTTTTCCCCAGCGTACAATTAAGGACGTGTGTGTTTGTTGTTTGTCTCCTTGGTATCTTTCAGGCCAGCAGTCTATACAGGAGACCCAGGAGTTACTTCAAAAGCACAGTTGCTTTGCTGAAGTGGTGACGGACAGAACTTTGGACACTAATGTCGAGCGTTCCATGCTCAGTGGAAGCTGGGACGCTGAGGGTCTGTTTGAACGGAAACTGGCAGGTCAGGAGACACGGCTCGGGCAGGAGGCAGTCGCTTGCCACAAAACCCTCTCGGAGGGGAGAGATTGTCCGTATCACAGACCAGGAAGGTGGTTCCACCTGGACGTCTCAGAAGAGCGGGTCCACCGCCGTGACTCGGTTAAGAAAGCTTTGCCGCCAAACTCAGTGCTGATAAAACATGCGGGAATCTACACAGGGAAAAAACTCTTCAAATGTCATGAATGCAAGAAAACCTTTACACAGAGCTCGTCCCTCACCGTCCACCAGAGGATCCACACGGGCGAGAAGCCGTACAAGTGTAAGGAATGCGGCAAGGCCTTCAGCGACGGCTCATCCTTCGCCCGCCACCAGCGGTGCCACTCGGGCAAGAAGCCCTACGAGTGCCTGGACTGCGGGAAGGCCTTCATCCAGAACACGTCGCTCGTCCGCCACTGGAGGTACTACCACACCGGGGAAAAGCCCTTCGACTGCCTGGACTGCGGGAAAGCCTTCAGCGACCACATCGGGCTGAACCAGCACCGGCGGATCCATACCGGCGAGAAGCCCTACAAGTGCGAGGCCTGCGGCAAGTCCTTCCGCTACGGCTCGTCGCTGACCGTGCACCAGCGCATCCACACCGGTGAGAAGCCCTACGCCTGCGAGGTGTGCCGCAAGGCCTTCAGCCACCACGCCTCCCTCACCCAGCACCAGCGCGTGCACTCGGGGGAGAAGCCCTTCCAGTGCAAGGAGTGCGGGAAGGCCTTCAGGCAGAACATCCACCTGGCCAGCCACCTGCGGATCCACACCGGGGAGAAGCCCTTCGAGTGCGCGGACTGCGGCAAGGCCTTCAGCATCAGCTCGCAGCTGGCCACCCACCAGCGGATCCACACGGGGGAGAAGCCCTACGCCTGCAAGGTGTGCAGCAAGGCCTTCACCCAGAAGGCGCACCTGGCGCAGCATCAGAAGACCCACACGGGGGAGAAGCCCTATGAGTGCAAGGAGTGCGGCAAGGCCTTCAGCCAGACCACGCACCTGGTCCAGCACCAGCGCGTCCACACCGGGGAGAAGCCCTACAAGTGCCTGCAGTGTGGGAAGGCCTTCGGCGACAACTCGTCCTGCACCCAGCACCAGAGGCTTCACACGGGCCAGCGGCCCTACGGCTGCACGGAGTGTGGGAAGGCCTTCAAGACCAAGTCGTCCCTCATCTGCCACCGCAGGAGCCACACGGGCGAGAAGCCCTACGAGTGCGGTGCCTGCGGCAAGGCCTTCAGCCACCGGCAGTCCCTGAGCGTCCACCAGAGGATCCACTCCGGGAAGAAGCCCTACGAGTGCAAGGAGTGCCGGAAGACCTTCATCCAGATCGGCCACCTCAACCAGCACAAGAGGGTGCACTCGGGGGAGAGGCCGCACGGCCCCAGGAGGAGCCGCAGAGCCTTCCGGCAGGGCCCGCACTGTGCACACGCGCGGACGCTCCCGGGAGAGGCGCCCGCGCAGCCCACGCCCGCGGCGAGCCCCCCGGACCTCGTGCCCACGTTCCTCTGGAGTCCGCCCTCACTGCCGTCCCTGCCGTCCTGAGAGGCCGTGCCTCAAGCCCCGTGCCCCTCTTTGCTGAGGACTGTCCCGTTCCTGCCCTGTTTGCTCCTCAGGTTGCCAGTTAAAGTGAGCGCGGAACTCGTTTACTCCTCACGTAAAAACCGGGGGTGCGATCCTTCCGATCGGTGAATGTGTAAGGTGTGTGTAGCGCGAGGAGTGGTCCGTACTAAGGGTGCAGTGATGTTAGCTCTTTATGGAACGTAATTTTTGGACATGGAAAAGTTACCACTGGAAGCTGAGGAAAAACAATGCACAGACGAAGCTAAGAGAAGCCGGCTTTTAGATCAGGAAAGGGTGATTCACGATAGTGAGGCTTTTCCGGCTTTGGCTTTAAACTCAGTTCCGCAATGTTGAGTTAGTATTGGGGCTTGTCATTTATCTGCCTGTGTGCGGTGCTGTGACGTTGGTAAGAGAATTGCTTTACATTCAGCAGGACTTGATCATTTAAATTCGCCAGGGCTTATGGGTGAATTCCATTCAACTCAAGGAACCACTAACCTTCAGGCAAATTGATCTGGACCATGTGACTCACCGCCCAAGTTTCACTGACTGTTCGAACAGCCCATGGCCTAATTTTTAAAAATCAGTTTAACGGAGGAACAAGTGAAAAGAATAATAGTTTATGACAACATGAAAGTTACATGAAATTTAAATTTCAGAGTCCGTAAATAAAGCCTGATTGGCTCACAGCCGTGGCTCACCGCATGGTTACCTGCTGCCTGGGGCAGCTGTCAGGCCACAGTAGCAGAGCTGAGAAGCTGCAGCAGAGACACTGTCATCCGCAAAACCTCAAGTATTTACTTAATATCCTCGTGCGGCAAAAGCTCGCCAACTCCCGCTCCATGCAGAGAAAAAAAACCGTACAAAAGGTTCTAATTATTTCCCTGAGAATAATAGAACTCTCCCATCAAAAACAAGAAAAACTCTAAACCAATTTATGAATAGAGGTGAAAGGACATTATTAAAGCATCAAACAATAGTAAATATGAGGAAATAATGTCCACAAAAGGAGAAATACGATATTTTTCTAGATGAAGTAATACCATTAAAATGTAAAATACCATTCACAACAGACTCCCAGTAGGATGTTTGCTCTGATAATTTCAGTGGAAACACAGAAATGTGATTTGTCAAACATAGCAGGACATTTAAAAAATGTTTTGGTTTATAATCAGATTGGCTTCCCTGGGTGTAAAGAATCCACCTGCCAGTGCAGGATACAGGTTCAAACCCTGAGTGGGAAAGATCCCCTGGAGAAGGAAATGGCAACCTGCTCCAGTATCCTTGCCTGGAGAATCCCACGGACAGAGGAGCCTGACTGCCACAGTCCATGGGGTCCCAGTGAGTCAGATGCAAGTTAGTGACTAAACAACAACCTATAATTAAGATTAGATTTTCATCATTGGGGAAATGATGTTTTAACAATCAGTTATCCACTCTCCAAGAAAACATACCTAGACCTTACAAAGAAATATGAGATAATTGTATTTAGCAGCTCTAATTATGAAATAAATGGCAACCCACTCCAGTATTCTTGCCTGGAGAATCCCATGGACAGAGGAGCCTGGCAGGCTATAGTCCATGGGGTCACAAGAGTTGGACACAACTAAATCAACTTTGGCATGGCAGAAGGTGTCAAAAAGATGTAATAGACAACTGGCAAAAAATAACAATGCGTACGAATAAATGTGTCATTTAAGAACAGAGTGCTGTGACACATACAAAGCAGGGAAATAGGTGGTGCATGCCAGCAGATGCGTCATGCTCGAAGAACTCGAATAAAGAACACATGTTGGGTTCTTAACCCCACTGGTCAGAAAATTACAGATTTAGTACAAATCTTGGTTCTCAGATAGGTTAAAATCTTACCTGGTTAATATGCCATACCTTTATCAGTGTGGAAAACAGGAGGCTGGTCATCACTACCCATGTCAATGTGTCTGCTCTGGTTCGGGGTGGCAATGTGGCATGACCTGTCTGCTTTATAAACATGAGTTCCTTTTGAAACAGTAACTCTAGATCTAGGAGTTTCATCCCACTGGAATAAATATATAAGTATAAATAATGTTTATTGCAAAGTTGTTTTAGTTACAACACAGATTGATGCAATTGTGATTATTCAAAACAGTATTGTCCAGTTAGTAGAAAGATGAAATTCTATATTTGCTCCTATGGAGTATTGTCATACACAAGTATATTAAATGAAATATGTGATTTGCAGAACCTTATGTGTAAAATGATCTTGTCATATAGAGTCAAAATATTTAATATATGTGTGTGTGTGTGTGTGCATGTGTGTCTGTATATGAGTTGACTAAAAAGTTGATTCAGGTTTTCCGTGTTAAAACCCAAATTAAGATTTTGACCAACCCAATGTATGTATTTTCTCAATATATATATTGAAATCTGTTTTCGTCTTTAACACACGTTAGCTCTTTGTTGGCACTTTGTCTTTCTTCCTTTTGTATTGTTCTGTTGAACAGTACAACAAGCCAGACAGATTTTTCATTCTTTGTATTTTGATTGGAGACTCGGGGCCAATATTAGGCTTCATTTATGGGTTTCCCTTGTGGCTCAACTGGTGAAGAATCCGCCTGCAATGCGGGAGACTTGGGTTCGATCCCTGGGTTGGGAAGATCCCCTGGAGAAGGGAACAGCTGCCCACTCCGGTATTCTGGCCTGGAGAATTCCACGGACTGTACAGGACATGGGGTCGCAAAGAGTCAGACACGACTGAGAGACTTTCACTTTCATTGGCCATAAGGGATGTTTTCTTATAGTTCACTCTTCATTTTGATTGGCTCTGCCCCTCCTTGTACTAGCAGTTAAGGATGTGGAATATCACTCCTGGACTGCAAATTGGTGGAACTGAGTCAAGCTTTGGAAGCAACCTAAAGATTTCTGCATCCCTACCTATCTGATGCACTAAAATGATTCCTGCTTCCCCACATCCTAGTTTTGTTAAATTCTTTAAATCTTCAAGGCCCCTGGTATCCTTCCAATACTGTAACTTCGAAGTTAAAGTCATCTTTTATTCTCATGTAGAAATTGGTACTAGAGGGTGATTCTCAGAACTACAGAGAAGCTGGTATGGACTGGTTGAAAGAGATCAAAAGAGAAACAAAATCCCATGTTTTATTAGGAAGGAATACTCATGATACAGCAGGATCACAAGCCCACTGTGCACAGGGTCTGGAGAGCTCTTAGCAAAAACTAACAGCGATGAGATATGCTGGTTCTAAGGATAAATGTGATGCTCTTTTACAAGTGAATTAGATAATTAAAGTGAAACGTCAGTTCTTCGACCTGTGAGGGCTAAGTCGCTTCCGTCGTGTCCGAATCTATGCGCCCCTATGGACTGTGGCCCTCCAGGCTCCTCTGTCCATGGAATTCTCCAGACAAGAACACTGGAGTGGGTTGCCCAGGGGACCTTCCCAATCCACAGATCCAACCGGTGTCTCCTGTCTCCTGCATTGGTAGGCGGGTTCTTGGGAAGTCCTCTTCAATCTGCAGACCGTTGGAAATTACCTGCCTCCCTTTGCCCCCGACCCCAGCCACCACATATGTATACACAGTTATAAAGCATCAGGAGAAATCTGAAATCTCCCATCTCGGTCTGTCCTGGAGGTTCCGCCCACTTCGTAGACCATCCTCCGGCTCCTTGCGCCTGCGCGCCCCACGCACCCTGTGACCCCGCCCACTATCGACCACCGCTACCGGGGCCTCCGCTCGCTGAGCCTGACAGCTGCGCCTGCGCACTCCGAGCCCGGAGACGGTTCCCAGAAGCCCCGGGGACTCCGCTCCCTTCATGGAGGTAGCCAGTATTTCTAGGACCCAGAGTCGGAGCTGTAAGGCTTCTAGGCCGCCCCATTCCGGAACTGGCGGCACCGAGAGGGGACAGACGGCAGCGGGCACCAGGCAGGGGAGAGAACCCCGGTCGCCCGACTTCAGAAAGCCGGCGTCCCTATTGGGACTACGTTTCCCAGGGGCCCTTGTGCTGTGAGGACTCGCCCACTTCTGGCGAGGACTTGAAGCCCCGACCGAGTCTGGCCGGTTCTGAGGAAGAGTCCGGTCCGGGTGGCGGCCGCTGCTGAGCCGGGCCCGGGGAGGCGCCACGGGGTCGCGTTTCGGTCGGCGCGCGGCGGGGCGGGAGTCGCGATCGTGCGCGCGTGACTTGGCGACCGTGGCTGAAGGGCGTGGAAGGTGTGACCGGGAAGAGGAGGCGGGTACGTGTGTGAATAGAGAGTGTGTATGTGCAGGTGTGACATGTGACTAGCGGGCCGCGGAGGAGGCTGGTGTGTGACTGGGGCTCGTGTTTCTGCGCGGGTCTCTTGTGCACTTTGCCCGTCCCAGCAGCGTGTACTGGAACGAATGAAGGATTTTACGTGGCTGAGAGCTGGAAACGCCCCCGGAGGAGACCATCCCACTCCAGTCCAGCACGCCCGACTCTCCCACCGAAAGTTCGGTGTGGCCCAAAGCCTTGGAATCCTGGGAAGGTGCCCGGTCGGGGCACCTTCTTGCCTGAAGCCTTTCTTGCCTGCCCGCCTGGAGGATGTGGAAATCGGAACACCCTACATGTCCACGGGCCTGAGTATGGAGGTAAGAGTGGAAATTGGGGGTGGGGGTGCTGCTCGTGGGCCCAGGGACTGGAGGATGATGGCCCTGGCCTCAGACTCTGGTGGACGCAGAAGTTCAAAAATTTGAACGGTCGCCTAGGACCAGAGTATGGAGCTGAATTCAGGGAGGGACCTTGACTTGCCTTTTAGAGGTCTGTTTGGGTGTCTCCAAGGACCGAGGGGAGAGAGCATTCACAATTAGAACATTACCTCTGAGTGCTCTGCTGCTCTTCAAGGAGGACCTCAGTATTTAATTTTTTTTTTCTTAATCTGTTAGTGTCGGAATATTCAGTTCAGTGCAGTCGCTCAGTCGTGTCTGACTTTGCGACCCCAGGGACTGCAACATGCCAGACTACCCTGTCCATCACCATCTCCTGCAGTTTACTCAAACTCATGTCCATTGAGTCGGTGATGCCATCCAACCATCTCATCCTCTGTCGTCCCCTTCTCCTCCCGCCTTCCGCCTTTCCCGGCATCAGCGTCTTTTCCAGTGAGTCAGTTCTTGGCATCAGGTGGCCAAAGTATTAGAGTTTCAGCTTCAGCATCAATCCTTCCAAAGAATATTCAGGACTGATTTCTTTTAGGATTTACTTGTTGGATCTCCTTGCAGTCCAAGGGACTCTCAAGAGTTTTCAACACCACAATTCAAAAGCATCAGTTCTTCTGTGCTCAGCTTTCTTTATAGTCCAACTCTCACATCCATACATGACTACTGGAAAAACCATAGCTTTGACTCAACGGACCTTTGTTGGTAAAGTAATGTCTCTGCTTTTGAATATGCTATCTAGGTTGGTCATAGGTTTTCTTCCAAGGAGCAAGCGTCTTTTAATTTCATGGCGGCAATCACCAGCTGCAGTGATTTTGGAGCCCAAGAAAATAAAGTCTCACTGTTTCCACTCTTTCCCCATCTATTTGCCATGAAGTGATGGGCCCTGATGCCATGATCTTAGTTTTCTGAATGCTGAGTTTTAAGCCGACTTTTTCACTCTCCTCTTTCAGTTTCATCAGGAGGCTGTTTAGTTCTTCTTCACTTTCTGCCATAAGGGTGGTGTCATCTGCATATCTGAGGTTATTGATATTTCTCCCAGCAATCTTGATTCCAGCTTGTGCTTCATCCAGTCCAGCATTTCTCATGATGTGATCTACATATAAGTTAAACAAGCAGAGTGACAATATACAGCTTTGACGCACTCCTTTCCTGATTGGAAACAGTCTGTTGTTCCATGTCCAGTTCTAACTGTTGCTTCTTGACCTGCATACGGATTTCTCAGGAGGCAGGTCAGGAGGTCTGGTATTCCCATCTCTTGAAGAATGTTCCACAGTTTGTTGTGATACACAGTCAAAGACTTTGGCTTAGTCAATAAAGCAAAAGTAGATGTTTTTCTGGAACTCTCTTGATTTTTTGATGATCCAGCAGATGTTGGCAATTTGATCTCTGGTTCTTCTGCCTTTTCTAAAACCAGCTTGAACATCTGGAAGTTCACGGTTCACATACTGTTGAAGCCTGGCTTGGAGAATTTTGAGCATTACTTAGCCAGCGTGTGAGATGAGTGCAATTGTGAGGTAGTCTGAGCATTCTTTGGCATTGCCTTTCTTTGGGATTGGAATGAAAACTGACCTTTTCCAGTCCTGTGGCCATTGCTGAGTTTTCCAAATCTGCTGGCATATTGAGTGCAGCACTTTCACAGCATCATCTTTCAGGAGTTGAAATAACACAACTGGAATTCCATCATATCCACTAGCTTTGTTTGTAGTGATGGTTCCTAAAGCCCAGTTGACTTCGCATTCCAGGATGTCTGGCTCTAGGTGAGTGATCACATCATTATCTGGGTTATCTGGGTTATCATGGTTATCTGGGTCATGAAGATCTTTTTTGTATAGTTGTGTGCATTCTTCCCACCTCTTCTTAATATCTTCTGTTTCTGTTAGGTCCATACCATTTCTGTCCTTTATTGTACTCATCTTTGCATGAAGTGTTGCCTTGGTATCTCTAATTTTCTTGAAGAGATCTCTAGTCTTTTCCATTCTATTATTTTCCTCTATTTCTTTGCATTGATCCCTGAGGAAGACTTTCTTATTTCTTCTTGATATTCTTTGGAACTCTGCATTCAAATGGATATATCTTTCCTTTTCTCCTTTGCCTTTAGCTTCTTTTCTTTTCTCAGTTATTTGTAAGGCCCCATCAACCATTCTGCCTTTTTGCATTTCTTTTTCTTGGGGATGGTCTTGATCACCATGTCATAAAAAGGAATGCATTGAGTCAGTTCTAATGAGGTGTATGAACCTGGGGCCTGTTATACAGAGTGAAGTGAGTCAGAAAGAAAAACAAATATCATATATTAACACATACATATGGAGTCTAGAAAAATGGTACTGATGATCCTATTTGCCTGGTAGCAATAGAGAGGTAGACATAGAGAACAGACTTGTGGACACAGCTGGGGAAGGAGAGGGTGGGGAATAGAAAGAGTCCCATGGAAACATATATATTACCATGCGTAAAATAGATATCTAGTGGGAATTTGCTGTGTGATGCAGGGTACTCAAACCTGGTGCTCTAATGACCTAGAGGTATGGTAGAAGGGAGGTTCAAGGTGGAGGGAACATGTGTATACCTATGGCTGATTCATGTCGCTGTATGTTAGAAATCAGTACAACATTGTAAAGCAATAATCCTCCAATTAAAAATTAATGAATTAAAAAATCTGTTAGAGTCCTGTCCCATTTATCCCTGGGATGAGACATGGGAGGAAGGCGAGATTCACAGCTTCATTTGGAAGTGCTGAGGGATCCCAGCCTTTCCATGGCTTAGTCACCTTTTAGTAGGTGAATAAAAGTACTCCCCCATTCCTACCTCACACTTCTCTGTCAAAACCAGACTGAGTAAAGGGGGGGGGGGGGAGAAAGAGTGCCCACAGCTTTATTGTTCTTCACTTGTTTTTCTATATGCAGTAACGGTAGCTAATGTTTACTGAGTGCTTTCTCTAGGCCAGACACGGTTCTAAGACCTTTGGGGGATATTAACACCAAACCTCAAAACAGTATGAAGTGGAAGCTGTCTTATCTCCTTTTTACAAATGAGGATACTGACGCATAGAAAGAACAAGTAATCAGTAAGTAGAGGAGCCAGGACTCACATCCAGGACAGGCTGAGTCCAGAGTGCCCCTCGTGCTGGGTCTCATGTAAGCCCCTCCACAACTGCTTGAGGTGACGTTCTTAACCACCTTTGACAGTTGAGAAACTGACCCTGAGAGGGTTAAATAACTTCAAGAGTTCAGATCCCAAGACCTCCACTGCACGAGTTTTTTCCTTTAAACTTTCAGATCCAGCTTTTGTTATGTAAAATGAGGATGATACTATATATGTCATAAGACTGTTATAAGGATTAAGTGAGCTCATACCTGCGAAGTACATGATGTAGTCCCTGCCACATAATAACCAGTGCTTAATAAGTTCGTTCTTTTAATCATCATTATAATGCTTTGAAAAAGCACTGGAGTTTAGAAGAAAGAAACCAGAATCAAGTCAGATATTTTTATCCTCTTCCTGATTGAAGAAACTTGGCTCAGGGGCACAGGGGACTTCTTCAGAACTGAATAGTTTGTCACAGAGCAAAATGGGAACCTGAGCGTCCTGACAGGTTTTTGGTCCAGCTCTCTGCAAGCCACATGAACTCTGTTGTAACGAAGATAATAATACTTCTTTCTCGGGAAGATGGCTTTTTTCAAGTCTCATGGACTCTTTGCAAATCCTTAGTGGTTAGTTGTACATGGGGGATTTTTTTCTGTTATATTTTGGTGTCTGCTTGAGTAAATAACTTGGGTGGAAGAGTCAGGCAGATCTATGTTGGTAACTAGGCTCCACTGTTTACAAGCTTGTGACTTGTGCCAAAGACTACACTTCCCAGAGCTTTCATGTGTGAAACTGTGACAAGATTCCCCGTTTTTGCTGAAGATTCTGAAGGTCAAATAAGAGTTTTAATATATGCAGCACACCTCATACATCTGTATTGTTAATGAAAGGGTGGATTTGGGTGAGAAAGAGATTGTGCTTAGCCTGAAAATCCAGAGCAGAGCAGAACCCCAACTGTAAATTAAAGGTTTCCCAGGAACTTCCTGGACTGTGAGGGCAGGGTGCAGTAGGAATAGGAGCATGGAGTAGAGAACAGAGGGAGCTGAAGGGAAATGTTTCTGGGCTGTGACTATCAGAGCCACTCAATTTCTCATCATTCCTTTCTCCTCCTCCCAGCTCTGCCCTCTCGGGGTAAAACCCTTCTCCACATGAGGAGCCAGGATGAAGAGGTGATGGGAATTGAACTTCTTAAAGCCATGTCCCTGGTTAGTATTCCCTTTTTTCTCCTAAAGTACTAGCTTGCTTTTCAGGATTTTGGCAGGTTTATTTTCTTCTGAAAATTGGAACACTGGGATTTAAGGAAGTGTAGAAGGCAATGGCACCCGACTCCAGTACTCTTGCCTGGAAAATCCCATGAATGGAGGAGCCTGGTGGGCTGCAGTCCATGGGGTCGCTACGAGTCGGACACACCTGAGCGACTTCACTTTCAGTTTTCACTTTCATGCACTGGAGGAGGAAATAGCAACCCACTCCAGTATTCTTGCCTGGAGAATCCAAGGGACAGGGGAGCCTGGTGGGCTGCCGTCTATGGGGTTGCACAGAGTCGGACACGACTGACACGACTTAGCGACAGCAGCAGCGGAAATGGTAGATCAGTTCAGTTCAGTCGCTCAGTCATGTCCGACTCTTTGCAACCCCATGGACTGCAGCACGCCAGGCTTCCCTGTCCATCACCAACTCCCAGAGCTTACTTAAACTCATGTCCATCAAGTCAGTGATATTTCTATGTAAATGCAATCAGCTGTTCTTTTTAATTTAAAATATCTTAAGTGGTTGAAAACAAAACTAATAGCTTAGGTTTGCTGAGCAGAACAGAACTTGAACATAGGTGTTCTGGCTTCAGAGACCATATGTGAGAGAATATACTTTCTAGTCTTCATATAAGCTCTGCTATCTTGTAGCTGTGCTATTTCTTTTGTAACCTTTCTCATGCCCATAAGACAGATATTTTGGCTGACAGATCAGCTCAGTGCCTATGTTGTTGTGCACACAGAACAACTCCTTATGAATCCCATGTGATCCTTGGCTGACCTCAAAGAAGTAGTGTACACGCACATTCCATTTCCCTCAGATGTTTGCCTTTGTGCTTGATTTCCGGTTTTTGTCATACTCCGCTGAGCGCTGTCAGATGAGCTTCTAATAAACATGCTCTCAGCAGTTTCCTCGGGGGTTGTTCTTCCATGAGCTCTCCCTGCGCTCTCTCATAATCCTGTGTGTTTATGAGAATTATTTCTGTGTGACACCACCACAGCCATGTAACTACCATAACATACTGAAACTAGTAAAAATATAAGCAAAGCTTTCATTGAAATATTAAACCAAATGTTTCACCTCTTTCTGGCCTCCTCTTTTATTCCCGTCTTTCCTTCATCATTATCATCGATAACAATTCTTGAGTACTTAGCCTGAACTGTGCCTGTTACTTCATTTAATTCTCACAGTGCTGCTCTAAGGTATGTACTGAAATTATTCCCATTCTTTTAGGAGGGAAATCTTGAAGGACAAAGGGGTTCATCAACTTGGCATAGATCACCCAGCTGGCCAGTGCCAGAGTCTGAACTCTTTGACTAATCTGACCTTTTTCTCTGGTCTTATTCAAGACTGGTGTATATTTAAAACTCATTCTAAGATATTGATATAAATGAAATCACTAAAACAGGAATGGAAAATATCCCATCAACCCTAGAATCAGCCTCACTTCATGGCTGGTTATAAATTCAGCTCACATAACAAAACCCAGGTTGCTTGTCATGTGCTTATCTCGTATGATCTCTCCTGATCCTTCTCAGCAGATTATCAAAAAACAGTTTGCTGAATGAGTTCTCCCCTAATCCAAATATATTTGTATTTCAAAAGAGAATAGTATTACTAGGCATTTTTTCTTTCATCTTTTAGGCACACCTCAGTATCTCAAGAACACTAAGATTTCTTAGAATATATTGTGGAGCTTGAAGTCATGCTCATCAGGTCAGCCTCATTCCTTGAAACTTTCTATTGCAGTCCCAGAGCTCTTTTGTTTCTCCATGTAGAAAAGTGAGCTAACTTCTAACATATAAAATAATTTACTGCTTCATAATATTCTAGGGTTTTTATTTGTTTTGTTATGTTGTGTTTTTCGCTGCACTGCAAGGCATGCAGGATCTTAGGGATTGAACCCATGTCCCCTGCAGTGGGAGGATAGAGTCTTAACAACTGGACTGCCAGGGAAATTCCCATGATTGTTGTCATTGTTCAGTCACTAAGTTGTGCCCTGCTCTTTGTGACCCCATGGACTGCAGCACACCAGGCTTCCTTGTCCTTCACTGTCTCCTGGAGTTTGCTCAGATTCATGTGAATTGAGTCGGGGATGCTTTCTAACCATCTCATCCTCTGCCACCCCCTTCTCCTTCTGCTCTCAATCTTTCCCAGCATTAGGGTCTTTTCCAATGAGTTGGCTGTTTGCATCAGGTAACCAAAATTCCGATGATACTCTGTTTTGAATGCAGTCAACAGTTTTTCATGTGAGAGTATCTCCTCACACCATAAAATGCTTTAAGAGCAGAAAGCATCTCTGTATTTTTCTTTTTCCTAATATGTACAGTGTAACTAGGCAGAAAAGTTGTTCAGTTCAACTAACTACTTGTTCTCTATCATTTAGACTCCCCACTGCAATTACTCACCCAGTTTTTTTTTTTCCTCACTTATAACCCTAGAGCCAGCTAAGTCAGGAGATGAACACTAATTGTGCAAGAGGACATTTGTGTCATTTCAGGATGCAGTGACTTTCACGGATGTAGCCGTCGACTTCTCCCAAGATGAGTGGGAATGGCTGACTCTTGCTCAAAGGACTCTGTACAAGAAAGTGATGTTAGAGAACTACAGCAACCTGGCTTCACTGGGTGAGAACATATGCCTCCTCATATCTCCCCTTAGGAGTCTCTCCACCTCAGTGGTCTCAGGACCTCATCAACATTTTCCTACAGTGTTTCTCTTCTCCCAGTACCATGTAGCTCTGGAACACCCGCAGCACAGGTCATCTTCTTCTTTTCTCTTACGTGCAGGTCTTTGCGTTTCTAAACCAGATGTGATCTCCTTGCTGGAGCAAGATAAAGAGCCCTGGACGGCGAAAGGAGAGTTGACAGGAGGCCCGTGCGCAGGTAAGTGCGGGATGACTCAAGCTAGGAAAGCAATGCTAAAGGTGTTTCTTCCCTCTGATGCTTGTTGGAAAATACCTCTCAAAGTCCTCCCCAAATTGAAACTTTTTGTTCTACAACTGTTTTTTGTACCACTTTAAACTGTATGGACAGAGGAGCCTGTTGGGCTACAACTGAGCGACCTAGCACACACGCATACACCACCTTTTATTTGTCTGTTCATGTTCGGCTGTCCTGGTTCTTCGCTGCTGTGCCACAGACTTTCTGGTTGCAGTGTGCAGGGGCTGCCCTTCACTGCAGTGCACGGGCTTCTCATTGGGGTGGCTTCTCTTGCTGCGGAGCATGCACTGTAGGTGAGCAGGCTTTCATAGTCACGGGACGTGGGCCTACTAGTTGTGGTGTACAGGCTTAGTTGCCCTGCATCATGTGGGATTTTCCCAGACCAGGGATCAACCCATGTCCCCTGCATTGGCAGTCCAGTTCTAAACCACTGGACTACCAGGGAAATCCTCTGCTAGTATTTTTTAAGTGGGTCTTTTCTTCTCTTCCCCACTGGTACAACATACCACCTTTACCTTTACTGATTTTCTACCACTCTGATTTTCTGAACTCTGTTGTGTTCCATTGATGTTTACCTAGTTCTGCTCAAGTACTATATTGTTAAAATTATTCCTGATTTTGAGCCATTTTTTAATTCTTCAGACAGGTTTGTGTCTAGTTTTTCAAACTTGTTTAAATATTTTCCTTCCTTTAAAATGTGACTTATCAAGTCAGCCAGTATATAGCTATGTTTTTCTCTCTGCTTTTAATCATTTTTCTCTTTGTTCTTTCTTTTTTATTGTTGTTATTTCTTTTTGTTTTGCTGTCTGTGCTTCTTCTTTAATCCCCCTTCACACCATTGTACCCCTTGAATTGAAAAAGTTTAGTTCTAAAAGCTGTTAACTTTATGACTTCATGTATTTTTTAATTTGCATTTTAAAACTCATCCACTTGAGATTCAAAATAATATCTTTTGATACCCATATGAAAGATGAAGAAATTAACTCACTAATGTTATCTCCTTCCTTCCTCTTTGTCTTTTCCCTTTTACTGTACTTACTAGAATTTTTTGGCTCAGGTTACTTTCTTCAGTTTATTAATTTTTTTACCCTAGCCTGCTTAAAAGCTGTTTTTTCTGGTTTAGAGCAATAGATTAGAGCCTGTGGACATATGCTGCAGGGAAATGAGCTTCAAGTGAGGAGGTTAGTTTATTCTGAGGCTTGTTGTGTGGCCTTTTCCTGCTTTCACTTCTCAGAGTTTCAAGAATTGGATGTTGGTAGGTCACTAAAACTGTATGTTAATAAACAATAAATAAATTTTAAATGAATTAAGCATTCAATTCAAGATATTAGAAAAAACAATGACCCTCAGGACAACTGAAATAAGTTACACATAGTGATTTATATTGCTAGAGATAAAAGTATATAAACTGTCAGGACAAATGAGAGAAGACACAGGGAAAGAAATAATGGTAAATGATGCCTAAGTACTTAAAAGAATCATATGAATCCATTTTTGAAACTCAACTATTTGTAAACAATTTGAAAATCTGAATGAAATGGATGATGCTTTATGAGACTATAATTACCAGAACTGACACCAGAGATAGAAAATTTGAACAGACCAGGTACCACTAAAAATATGTAGGAAGTCATTTAAGAACTTCCTCCTCCCAAAAAAGAAGCAATTAACCCCAAATAGTTTCACACAGTAATTATATAAAGCTTGTAAAGAAAAAAATCATTGTTTGAAGTTTTCCTTGACAGAGAATTAAAAAGGAGAACTATTTTAAAATGTTATTGTGAAGATAGTGTAACATTTGATACCAAAATAGCATCCCAAAAAAGGGAATTATTAATGCAATAATAAATATTGGTGCAATATCTTAAATAAAAAGTCATGTTGAAATAATATACCATAGCCAAGGAGGGTTTATTCTAGAAACGCAAAGATGGTCACACCACCTAACTTGAAGAACTGTCAAAAACATGTCCCTTTATAGGCTTTGGCAACTGTTGTGATTCACATGGTTTTGTTTTGCAAGTTTCTGTTCTTCAAGCATTAAATAAAGGAGACATTTGCTTTCTTAATATCTTTCAGACTTGGAGTATGTGTGGATGAAAAAGGAATTATCTCTAAACCAGGACATCTATGAGGAACAATTATCTCAAGCAATGATAATGGAAAGACTTACAAGCTATGACCTTGAATGTTCCACATTAGGGGAAAACTGGAAATATGAAGACCTGTTTGAGAGGGAGCTGGTAAGTCCAAAGACACATTTTAGGCAAGAGACAGTCAGTCATATAAATACCCTTATTGAGAAAGGAGACCACTTTAATAAATCTGGGACAGTTTTTCATCTGAATTCATTATGTTATATAAAACAGGTATTTCCCATCAAAGAGAGAATATGTAATTTTGACACAGATAAGAAAAGCTTAAAGACACACTCCTTTGTGCAGAAAGACAAGCAGGTCTATGGAGAAAAGAAACGTTTGACATGTAATGACTGCGAGAAAACTTTCAGCAAAATCTCAACTCTTACTCTTCATCAGAGAATTCATACTGGAGAGAGACCCTATGAATGTCTCGAATGCGGAAAAGCCTTTAGCCAGAGTGCCCACCTTGCTCAGCATCAGAGAATCCACACAGGAGAAAAACCCTTCAAATGTACCGAGTGTGGAAAAGCATTCAGCCAGAATGCCCATCTCATTCAACATCGGAGAGTTCACACTGGAGAAAAACCCTATCGCTGTCAGCAGTGTAACAAAGCCTTCAGCCAGCTTGCACATCTTGCCCAGCACCAGAGAGTTCACACTGGAGAGAAACCCTATGAATGCATCGAGTGTGGGAAGGCCTTCAGTGACTGTTCATCCCTGGCTCATCACCGAAGGATTCACACTGGAAAGAGGCCCTACAAATGCATTGACTGTGGGAAGGCCTTCCGGCAGAACGCTTCTCTTACACGTCATCGAAGGTATTGTCACACTGGAGAAAAGCCCTTTGATTGTATTGACTGTGGGAAAGCTTTCACCGATCACATAGGACTTATTCAGCATAAGAGAATTCACACTGGAGAGAGACCCTACAAATGTAATGTGTGTGGAAAGGCTTTTGGCCATGGCTCCTCCCTGACCGTCCATCAGAGAATTCATACAGGAGAGAAACCCTATGAATGTAGTATCTGTGAGAAAGCCTTTAGTCATCGTGGCTCGCTCACTCTTCATCAGAGAGTCCATACTGGAGAGAAACCCTATGAATGTAAGGAATGTGGGAAAGCTTTTCGGCAGAGCACGCACCTTGCCCACCATCAGAGAATTCATACTGGGGAGAAACCTTACGAATGTAAGGAATGCAGCAAAACCTTCAGCCAGAATGCTCATCTCGCACAGCATCAGAAGATACACACTGGAGAGAAACCATATGAATGTAAGGAATGTGGTAAGGCCTTCAGTCAGATTGCTCACCTTATTCAGCACCAGAGAGTTCACACTGGTGAGAAGCCTTATCAATGTTTTCAATGTGGGAAGGCCTTCAGTGATGGCTCCTATCTTGCTCAACATCAGAGACTTCACACTGGCAAAAGACCCTACGCGTGTCTCGAATGCGGGAAGGCATTCAGACAGAGGGCATCCCTGATCTGTCACCAGAGGTGTCACACGGGCGAGAAGCCTTACAAATGCAACATCTGTGGGAAAGCCTTTAGTCATCGTAAATCCCTTACTCTGCATCAGAGAATTCACACAGGAGAGAAACCTTACGAGTGTAAGGAATGCAACAAGGCCTTCAGCCAGATTGCCCATCTGACGCTGCACAGGAGAATTCATACTGGAGAAAGGCCGTATGAGTGTAAAGCATGTGGAAAAGCCTTTAGGCAGACTGTACATCTTGCTCACCATCAGCGAATTCATACTGGAGAGTCATCCTCAGTGATTCCCTCCTCTTCCTACCACCATGTCCTCTAGTTTCAATCTTCTAAACATTTCTAGAATCTATCACTTTTTTCCAGCGCAGCGTGCCATTGCAGTCCAAGATGCAGCCATCTCATTTGGATTTCGGCATAGCGTTACAACCATATTTCCTTTTGCTCCCCTCAGGTGCATTTTTAACACTGTAGCCAACTGCATCTTTTAAAAATAAAGAATTTATTCATGTTACTTTTCCCTTTAAAACACTTATTTTGAAAAATATATTAGGTAATCCACTTAAAGCATTTAGCATGCTATCCTAGACTTACATTCAGTGCCATTAAGGTGGAGTTTCCCATACAGGGATGTTCGGCTACAAGTGTAATCAGCCGGGAGGCCAAGGTTAAGACAGAGAGCTCTCCAACAAGTATAATCAGCCAGGAGGCCAAGGTTAAGACAGAGAGCTCTGTAACAAGTATAATCAGCCAGCAGGCCAAGGTTAAGACAGAGAACTCTCTAACAAGTATAATCAGCCAGGAGGCCAAGGTTAAGACAGAGAACTCTCTAACAAGTATAATCAGCCAGGAGGCCAAGGTTAAGACAGAGAACTCTCTAACAAGTATAATCAGCCAGCAGGCCAAGGTTAAGACAGAGAGCTCTCCAACAAGCATAATCAGCCGGGAGGCCAAGGTTAAGACAGAGAGCTCTCCAACAAGCATAATCAGCCGGGAGGCCAAGGTTAAGACAGAGAGCTCTCCAACAAGCATAATCAGCCGGGAGGCCAAGGTTAAGACAGAGAGCTCTCCAACAAGCGTAATCAGCCGGGAGGCCAAGGTTAAGACAGAGAGCTCTCCAACAAGCGTAATCAGCCGGGAGGCCAAGGTTAAGACAGGGAGCTCTCCAACAAGCGTAATCAGCTGGGAGGCCAAGGTTAAGACAGGGAACTCTCTAACAAGTATAATCAGCCGGCAGGCCAAGATTAAGACAGAGAACTCTCTAACAAGCATAATCAGCCGGCAGGCCAAGATTAAGACAGAGAACTCTGTAACAAGCATAATCAGCCAGCAGGCCAAGATTAAGACAGAGAACTCTGTAACAAGCATAATCAGCCGGCAGGCCAAGATTAAGACAGGGAACTCTGTAACAAGTATAATCAGCCGGCAGGCCAAGATTAAGACAGAGAATTCTCTAACAAGTATAATCAGCCGGCAGGCCAAGATTAAGACAGAGAACCCTCTACCAAGTATAATCAGCCGGCAGGCCAAGGTTAAGACAGAGACCTCTGTAACAAGTATAATCAGCCAGTAGGCCAAGGTTAAGACAGAGAACTCTGTAACAAGTATAATCAACCAGTAGGCCAAGGTTAAAACAGAGAACTCTCTAACAAGCATAATCAGCCAGTAGGCCAAGATTAAGACAGAGAACTCTCTAACAAGCATAATCAGCCAGTAGGCCAAGATTAAGACAGAGAACTCTCTAACAAGCATAATCAGCCAGTAGGCCAAGGTTAAGACAGAGAATTCTCTAACAAGCATAATCAGCCAGGAGGCCAAGGTTAAGACAGAGAACTCTCTACCAAGTATAATCAGCCAGGAGGCCAAGGTTAAGACAGAGAACTCTCTACCAAGTATAATCAGCCAGTAGGCCAAGGTTAAGACAGAGAACTCTACTCTCCTTGTAGGTCGGAAAGATGAGCACATTCAGATATTCAAGGTAACATGGTGGCTTGCTTTTCCTTCTGTATGAATGAATAAAAAGACATCTACTGGAGGAAGAAATGGTAACCCAGTCCATATTCTTGCCTGGGAAATTCCATGGACAGAGGAGCCTGGTGGGCTACAGTCCATGTGGTTGCAAGAGTCAGACAGTATATAGTGACTACACAACAGCAACCTTTAGCAGAATAAGGCTTTTAAAAAAGGAGACATCTAGCATCATTGATGAGGAAATCTCACCTCACCTGGCACTTAGAAGTGAGACTAGGCCAGTTAGAACAAAAACATTTGATAGAATGTGGGACTTGCCAGGGGAGAGTATTAAAAATAAACTAAAATGAACCAGCTAGAAAACTTGAGTAGGTTAATAGCCATGAAATAAACTACAAAAGATAGTTCAAAACTTTCAACTGTGGGAAAGTACCACAGACAATTCCTGTGATACTGAATTGTTCTAGCATATAAAATAAATACAGTAAAGCTTCCCATCTTGTTCTGTGAGACTGACAAGACAAATACCAAAACAGGAAAACATATATATTGCAGTTGGCTTATGAATGTAGATGTTAAAACAAATATTCTTTAAATATTAAAAAGCAGAGGAAATGAAAAGCTAGACATGTCTCTGTATAGACATACTGAGTCTGGCAAAGACATTTCTTCCCGAGTTAAATATGTGAATTCACTTGTATTCCAGTAGAAGTCCAAATGTGTAGGTTGACAGGCTCATTTTGACCATCTATATGGTATTGTGATAT